AATCACACTTTTCATACACCCCCCCCACCCCGTGTACTGGGGATTGAACTCAGGACCTTGTGCTTGAAAAGCAGGAGTGGTGCCTCTGAGCTAAATCCCTGATCCTGCATATCCTTTCTATCCCCTTGCTCCCCAGTCACTTTGGCCAACTCTCTCAGCAAATCTATCATCTTGATTGTGTCCAGTTTTCCAAGTTTTAGGTCTGCACCCGCTCACCTGAATGCAGCTATTTAAAACAATGCAGCTATTTAAAACAAAACAAAACACTCCAAACATCCTCAAATCCTCGTAATAACATTTATTTTAAATCAAAGCCAAGGCTCTTTTTTAAAAAAATATAATGCTGGGTATAATACTATGCACCTTTAGTCCACTTATTCTTTAAGTTTCTTTCAGAATTATTTTATGATTTCTTTTTTCTCCTCAATTTCTATCACTTTCTCTTTTATCCTCTTGCTCAGATAATGCCCTGAGAATATTTACTGAGAATGATGATCCACCAGAAAGTACTGGAGATCCCTGCAGCAGATCCTGATCTCCTGCTTGGTACTACAATGCATGGTAAGAAGAAAGACAGAATTAAAGAGACAGACAGGGAACTGGGATGACCCGTTCTTCAGCAAGTAAAGGCTTGAGCAAGAAAAGGCCCTGGTCAGTCAAAACCATTGATATTTATTGTTAACACAATCATTGTTAAGTCGGGGTGAGGGGGCTACACTAAGGGATATGAGTAGTTGCTAGGGATATATTGCAGTCAAAGCTTGTAAAAGAAAAGACAAAGCATTCTTGTGCTAGGCAGGGAGTAGAATTTAGGTGAGTCACCCTGACCTTGACATGTTGGCTTTGGCCAGACTAACTCGTATAAACAAGCCAATGTACAGGCTGCACTGCTTACAGCCTGCTTTGGGCATAATCAGTGGGGTGGTCCTCCACAAGAAAGAAAAAACATTCTACTAAATCTCACTACCACATTCCCCTATCTACTAACAACTGTACAAAATGTATGCTTTCTTCCTCGGGATTATTTAGCCTTCTATCCAAGTCTTAGCTTCTCACTTGCATGCTAAATCCTACCGCCTGTTCCCTGGACAAAGGCAACAGGGGCAGTTATTTTCCCTCATCTATGATACATTATCTATTTTTTATTCTTCACTGGCTCAATTCCATCAGAATACAAATACAATGTTGTTTCTTCCACCTTGAAAAAACAAAAATCTTTGATGCCACTTCACACTTTCATCTTCCACTCCCATTTCTTTTTTCCCTGTTGGAATAGTCATTGTCTCCAAAGTTTGTCCACTTCTGCTTTGTCTCTTAAACCTGTTCTTGTTAGAGACACCCCTCCCACCTTACTCTACTAAAAATGCTCCACTCTTGGTCACCTGTGTCCACATCATTGCAACCAAGGTACTGTAGTCAGTTTTTAGTCTTTGTCTTACTTGATCTATTGGTAGTTTTTTTTTTTTAAATATGCTTTAGCACTCTTTTTTTTAGATACTTTCTTCATTTGACTTCTAGGATACCACATTGTTATATTTTCACTTAGTTCATTCCTCAGATTCCTCTGTGAGCTTTCTCTCTCCCTTAACTCTTTTTTTTTTTTTTTTTTCCTTTTCTGGTACCAGAGATTGAACTGAGGACCTTGTACTTACGAGGTAGGCATCAGCACCCCTGAGCTAAATTCCCATCTCCCTTAACTCTTAATGTTGGAATGCCCCTAGACTTAATCCATGGTCCTCTGTCTATACTCCATTGGTGATCTCAATCCATTTCAAGACTTGAAATATCATCTACATTCCAAAAACTGCCAAATTTATATGCCTATTCCAGACTCTTTCTTAAACTCCACTGTCATATTCAAAATTTAACCTTTGATCATGCCTCTTGAACATACTCTTCCCAAATTCTTCCCATTTAGATTAACAATTCCATCCTTTTATCTCCAAAATATGTAGACTTATCCTAGACTCCTCTATTTCTTCATAGCACTCAATATACCAGCAAATAATGATTACTCTATTAACATTTATCTAGAATCTTTCCACCTTTTGTCACCTGCTCTGCTGCTATTTGAGCTTCTTCTTGAGGTCTTATCTGGATTATTATAGTAGCCTCCTAAAGGTGTCTTCTATTCTTTCTTCCTACAGGTCTTCCCTAATACTGCAGTAGGTTGACCCTTTTAAATCATACATGAGGATGACATTCCTATGTTCACAATTTAGCAATGGCTTCCAATTTCAGTCAACAAAAGCCAAACTCTATATGATCTACATTCTTCTTTTTACTCTTCTGCTCCCTTTCCCTCTGAACTTGTTTTCTTGTTCATTCTGCTTTGGACACAGTGTCCCACCTGGCCCTTCAACACACCAGGGACAATCCCATGTTAGAGCTTTTGTACTTGCTATTCCTTTGACCAGTATACACTTCCCACATATGTAAGGTCTATTTTGACTTTAAATTTAAAATTGAAACTAAAATGTCAGATTTGTACTGACATGTGACTGGGTTGGTTCCATTGTACATAGATTGGAGGGAGGAAGTATATCTCATTTGATTTCTCGCCCTCTCCCTCTCTCTCTCTCTCTCTCTCTCTCTCTCTCTGTGTGTGTGTGTGTGTGTGTGTGTGTGTGTCTGAGTAGGAACAGGTAGTGGATCTGACCATCTCTGAGACCCATTCTGCAAACACATCAAGGTTGATAATAGAAAGAAATAAATTCTGGTAATAGTCCAATGAGAGGAAGAACAAAGTCTTCAAAAAGGTCAATGAGCAGCTCATTAGTTTTATGCCAGCAGCCTTAAACTTGTGAACTTAAAATTACATGGTTTAAATTCCTTTATTAAACCAGTTTTTAAGCCAGGAATCTTGCTACTTACAGCTAAGTGCATCATGGATGACATACTGATGGCATTTGGTAATACTCTCTTGATTTGTTGAACATTTATAAATCATATGGGAAGAAAACTAAACTCTGCTCCAAACTATAGTTCAAATATATCTATCATCTGTACCTATATCTACATCTACATCTATATCTATATATCTGAGATATAGAATCTATGCTTTTCTGTTCCTCAAGATGACATTTAATATATTATTCTTATATTCCTGTTTCTTCTGTTTTCTTTAACCTGTTTTCCTTCTGGCCTGTGTTATCACCCAGGCTGAATTTGTTGGATCTTTTTACCTTAGGTCATAGAAGCCTCATATAATCTCTTTTTTCATCTATTTTTTCTAAAGACCACTCTCATATCTGTGTCCTGTTCTCTAACTTGCACTGCAGATTCTCCTCTCAACTTTCATCTCTAGTATTGAATAATTCAATTCAGATTTCATCTCAAGTCAGTGTGCTCCAAACGGATCATATCCTGGAAAAATCAACTTCTGTGTTTCTGGTTAGATGGGCCAAAGACACTGCATAGCTGTGAATAGTGAGTGACATATTCAGGATTTACTGGGTATATCCTGAGTCAGACATTGTACTAGATGTCTGTATCTAATAAGTCACCAATTCTTGTTCTTCTATAATATTTCTCATATGTGTCTGGGTCCTTCCAATTTGTCTTCATTAATTTATGTTTGGATTTTTTTTTTTTGCATTATGTCTTCCTTAGTGAATCTGTACTTATCTTTTAAGAGCCAATTGAAAAGTTACCAGTTATGCACTATGGGTTAAATTGTGTGCTCCCAAAATATATTAAGTCCTAATAGTTTTTTGAATGTGACCTTAGTTGGAAATAGGGTCTCTGCAGATGTAATCAAGTTAAGATGAAGTCATATTAGGCCCTAAAACAATGTGATTTGAACACTTACAAGAAGAAAAAAATACCTTAACAGAAATACAGAGGAAGATGGCCATGTGACAATGCAGGCAGAAACTGCAGTGATACAGTCACAGCTAAGAAACTCTGATTGCCAGCAATTATGTACACAAAGTACAAGGTCCTTCTGAGGGAAGAGTCCTATATGTTCAGCTGCCTATGAAGCAGCACTGGTTAGAATTCCAATTAATCCCTAGTCTTGCCAGTACTTGATATTGCCAATCTCTTCATTTTAATAATTTGGTATTTTAGAAATATTTTGCCATTTATCTGCATTTCTTTGATCTTCAATGAGAGTAAGCATCTTTTCATATATTTATTACTATTTGTCTGGGTGTGAGAAGGCACTTGTTTCTGTTTTTTGTCCATTTTTCTAGTAGCTTCTTGTGAATTGATTGAGGTTTTGTTTCATTTTGTTTAGTCTGGATTTGTAACAGTTGATTTTATATTCTCAATGGGAGCATTATGTAGATTATATGTGTAGCAAATATTTTCCCCTACTCTCTAGATTGCTTTTCACTCTCTTGTCACGTATTTCAATGAATAGAAGCTCTTAATTTTAATATAGTTTGTCAATCTTTTCCTTTCAGTTTAAATATTTTAAATCAAATTTTAGAAAATTTTGTCTTCTTTCAAATTATATTCATTCTCTTATATAAATTTCTTTATTGTTTTGCCTTTCACACTTAGACGCACAATCTCATTGGAACTTCATAAATATTAACTCTAATCCATTTTATTTGCCACTATCTTCTCTTTCGTACTTCAATACAACACTATCCTTCTTTCCTTGTCTTTGTTCATAACCTTTTCAGTGTATTCTACATTTGGCACATAACAGCGATCTCGTCATTCTATCCTCATTCTTTGCCACCTGTCCTCTTCAGCAACTGAATTTGCCCTGTCTTTGCAGAAATTGTTCCTTGAGAACTTACATCACTCTTCTCTGGTTGTTAAATAAATGACTAAATCCATCTCTTCTATCACTTTTACCAATTCTCCAGGGGAGAGGACTTTTAAAACTTTTTGAGAAAAGTTTTCACTTCGGATGACACTGGGATGTAATCCGGTATACTTGAAGCAATCTCCTCCCCTCAAGCCCACCTGGAAGGTTTGAGAAGAAGTAATCGATCAGCTCGGGGCTCGCCTCATGGAGGCAGCTCGGCTAGTTCTGGCTGGAGTGCCTCATCCCGGAAGTGGGAAGTGGGTTGAAGGCCGTTGTGGTCAGTGCGGTCCGGCAGGCCCGGCCCTGCACGGGCTCTGTAGCCAACATGGCAGATCCTGACCCCCGCTATCCCCGCTCCTCAATCGAGGATGACTTCAACTACGGCAGCTGCGTGGCCTCTGCCAGCCTGCACATCCGAATGGGTAGGTGGCCCGGTCTCTCTTGGTCCCCGGGCGCGCCCATTTGCCCAGCTGTGCGCCGATCCGGCCGCTGCCCGGGGTCGGCGCCTGTCCTGGGGTGCAGAGGGGACGTTGAGTTCCAGGGCGGTGACAGCGCTGGCGCCAGGTGCTTGCTACTCTGGCGCCATGAGCTCAGGAACCCCAGCTGGAGTCTTCAGTGGAGAAAACCTCAGCAGTTTAATTCCACGTCTTTAAGAGAAAGGAAGAGTTACTTTCTGGACGAAAATAAGTTTACTACCTGATCTTTGTGACGTACACCGGAGTGCAGTTGCTTACTTGATGTGTTTGTTTTCAGGGCCGTAAACGCGCTGCAAAGTTTTCTTTATTTGCCTGCCTCATGTGCCTCATATCGCTGTAAACTTGGTCAGGGATAATGACTTTACCTAACTTGTTTATTATTTTCTTCTGCAGGGCATAGAGCTTAACATATGTTTGAACATCATTCAAGAAGTTGCTTGAAAAATAAAACCTTCCTAAGGTTTAAAATAAAAATAAATTTAAAATAAAATAAAACCTTCCTAAGTCAGTCAAAATGCCATGTTAATTTAAAGTTACTATACAGTATTCAGCCTGCAGACATTATTTTGAATTTAAAATGCTCGGTATCATATAAGTGGAATTTGTTCCTCCGGTCCAGTTCATCCATTTGATCGCAGAAACTGCCCTAGATTTTTAGCTTTCTCTGGGCAGTCAGTAATGTTTCTAAAAAAGGAAGTATGGAAATCTAATGCACTAAGAATCTTGGTGCCTAGCATCTATGCTTCTGGACTTATTTTGTCAAGCGAGTACACTTTTAAAAACAATTTGTGGTAAAATATATGTAACATAAACATTTCAGTCTTAACCATTTTTAAAATTAGTAGTGTTAGGCCGGGCGTGGTGGCACAAGCCTGTAATCCCAGCATTCGGGAGGCTGAGGAAGGAGGCTTACTGTGAGTTCAAGACCAGCCTGGGCTACATAGTGAGTTCCAGGTCAGCCTCAATTACATAGTGAGACCCTGTCTCAAAAAAATAAATAAATAAAAAATAAAATTAGTAGTGTTAAATATCTTCACATTGCTCTGCACCCAATCTTGAGAAGTTTTTTTTTTTTTTGTAAAGGTAAAATGATATACCCATTAAACAACTCCCTGTTCTGTCCTCCTTCCTGCCTCTCCTAACCTTCATTCTACTTTCTGTTTATGAATTGGACTACATTAAATACCTCATAGTCCAGGCCTAGCAGCAAATGCCTGTAACCCAAGATTGGGAGCCTGAGGCAGGAGGATGGCAAGTTCCAGCCCAGCCCTGTGCAGTTTATGAATTCTATCTCTTAAACACAACAAACAAACAACCAAAATCAGCCTCATATAAGTAGAATTACACAATTTGTCTTTTTGTAACTGGATTATTTCAATTACCATAATGTCTTTAAATTGACTTCATGTTATAGTAGGTGTCAGAATTTCTTTTTTTTAAAGGCTGAGTAATAATATATTCTATGTATATATCAAATTTAGTTTATCCATTCATTGATAGATATTTGTGTTGCTTCTACCTCTTGGCAGTTGTGACTGATGCTATTATGAATATTGGTGTGCAGGTATCTCAAGAGCTTGCTTTACTTCTTTACTGTATGTATATTCAGGAGTGGAATTGCTAGATTGTATGGTAATTCTATTTTTAATATTTTAAGGAATTGCTATATTATTGAACTGTTTTACATTATCAGCGACAATGTGCAATTGTTCTGATTTTTTGCTCTTGCCAACATATGCTGTTTTCTGTATGTTTGAAAATGGCCATCTGAATGAGGGTGAAATGATGTCTCATTTCAGTTTTGATTTGCATTTACCTAATGATTAGTGATGTCATAAATTTTAAAAGTATGCTGGTTGACCATTTGTGTATATTCTTTGGAAAAATGTTATTCAAGTCCTTCAACTAATGTTTTAAAATAGACTTTTAAAAGGCAATTTTAGGTTCAGAGCAAAACTAAGCAAAACCCATAGAGTTGTCATATAACTGGATTTGTACATTTTTGCTATAGTCAAGTTATGAAAGTCCATAGTTTACATTAGGATTGACTCTCAGTGTGGTATATTTTATGAGTTCTGACAAATGTGTAGTGACATTAGTAGTATCATACAGTATTGTGTCTCTGCCCTAAAAATACTCTGTGCTTTGGGCCAGGGATTTAGCTCAGTCGCACCACACCTGCCTTGCAAGCACAAGGTCCTGAGTTCAATCCCTGGTAGCAAAAGAAAACCCAAAAAACAAAAACCACAACAACAACAAAAAACTCTGTGCCTGAATACTCTCTTGTTCATAGCTGAACACTGGCAACCACTGGTCTTTTTATTGTCTGCATAGTTTTCCCTTTTCTAGAATGCCATATAGTTGGAACCATACAATATGTAGCTTTTTCATACTGTATTCTTTCACTTAGTACTAGGATGTACATTTTAGATTTCCGAAATGTCTTTTCATTTCCTTTTAATACTACAAATATTCCATTGTCTGGATATACTACAGTTTATTTATTCACCTGTTGAAGGACATCCTGGCTGTTTCTGAGTTTTGGCAATATTGATAGAACTGTTTTGTAAACATCTATGTGCAGGCTTTTGTGTGGACAAAAGTTTCCTACTCATTTGGGTAAATGCCAAAGTGCACAGTTGCAGGATGAAATGATAAAAGTATGCTTAGTTTAGGGAGAAGTCTTTACCAAAGTATGTTCCACAGGTTGCATTCTCATCAGCAATGAATGAAAGCTCTTGTTCTTCATCTTACCAAGACTTGGTGTTGTCAGTGTTTTGGCTTTTGACCGTTTTAATGGATGTGTGATGATATCTCATGGTTATTTTAATTTGCTGTTTTCTAATAAGTTATGATGTTGACCATCTTTTCATGTTTATTTGCCATCTGTATATATTCTGGGTTTTTTTTGTTGTTGTTTTTTTTTTTTTTTTTGGTACCAGGGATCAAACTTGGGACCTTGCACTTGCAAGGCAGGCAGCGGCACTACTGAGCTAAATCCCCAGCCTTTGTATATTTTCTTTAGTGACATGGTTCTTTACTAATTAAGAGCTTAATAAAATGCTCCATTTTTTAATTTCATAAATGAAACATGTGTAGTTGTTGATATTGATAACTAGAGAGATTATTTGAAACTTTTGCTAGATTGATAATATAAATAAGCATAACATAATTAAATGTTCTTAACATTTCAACTTGTTTACATTGTACTGGTAAAGTACTATATGCTGTTGTCATCGTATGTTAGCTATCACTCATACATATCACAGTCAAATCTATTATTTCTTTGTTGTAGATGGGAGAAATTTGATTAAATAGATCTGAATCCCAGTCCTTTGCTTCCTTTTTAAACACATTGTTGATTTAAGTTTTTGCTTCCTAAGAACATAACCTGATGAATTTGCTCTGGACCCTGTGTAACAGGTGGTGCCTGGAGCATGAACCTTGCTGACACTGTCACAGATCTTCCTACGCTGGTGCATTTTCCCTGCTGAAATTTGCCAGATCTCCTCCTTTATATCATTATCAGCTCATTTTATATCTCCACGTTTTAAATGTTAGAAAGATGAGAGTTAACTCACACTTCTGAGCAGTGCAAGTTTTGTTAGTGAGCATAGTACAGGGAAATGGGAGGGAGCAGAGCCATACTTTGAAATGGGAAATAAGCTGGAAAATGCACTATTTTTTAAAAAAAGTAAATTAGCTCCTTGTGATGTGTACATTTTCTAAAAGATACTTTTAGAATACTATACAGATTCTTAATCAAGCCTTATTGATGCAAAATAACAAATATAAAGCTTTAAAAATACTATGCGAAAATGAGTTTCTGAGTATAGTCTCTCCCTAAAGCACTTTAATGGTGCTAATTTAACTACTTTATATAACTCATATGTAATACATATGTAATGTACAATAGTCTCTGGTCTATTTTAGCAATATGGTAAAATACGTGTGTTACAAGATAAAAACCTTTATTTACAAATATTCTATCCTTTAAAATGAACACAGAAAAGGATTTGAATAAAAATATGCCTAAAATCACAGGAAACAAAGCCAAATTCTGCCAAAACCAAGAGGAAGTGGTGATAGCCCCAAAATCAAAACCAATCAGCAGCCACAAGAGGGTTAAGACAAATTGACTGAGAAAAAACAGCCACTATCTCCAGTGTTTTTGGTTTGCAAATTAATAACTAGCTCCAGTATATCCACACTCACTGTGGTCTCATTTCTACCCACCTCATATATTGGTGGAGCCTCTCATCTAATAAATACAATATCAGAGAAGTTGCCACCGTTCACAAAATACATTAAGAAAACTGTTGCTCAGGGAGGCTGGAAATTTTCCTTTAGGAATAGTGTCACATAACATGGGAAGCACTGTCTAAATCCAGGCACATTTTCTTATGAGGTCTCAACTCAAGCCAAATTTTATTTCTTTCTGGGATCTTTGGTGAGAAACTGGCAACAGCACAACCCTAAAGCTATTTTTATTCTTTCAGTTCAGACACCTGTGTATTCTCATTTATCAGAAAATGTAAGAAATATATAAGTTGTTGATAGGTAGCATTAGGAATATAACAGTTGGAAAGAAAAGTGGCTATCAATTATTGTACCTGAGACCACTGCTAATGAGAAACTTTAGTAGCTTTGTGATCTTGGTTTAAATGCTATATTTTTGTGTTTTTTAAATTATTACTTTTAAATTTTTATCACTACACCTTTATCCTATGCATAATGATTTCATTCATCATGAAGAGTTGGTACTATACATAATACATATTTTTTTTTTCTTTTCTTTTCTTTTGGTACCAGGAATTGAACTCAGGACCTTGTGCTTGTGAGGCAGGTTGCAGCACCACTGAGCTAAATCCCCAGCATATGTGTATTTTTAAAAAACAAAGATACTATTATTTTGTGGGCTCAAAACTATTACAATTTATAGGATCATATTATGCATATACTGGTTCTATAGCTTTGCATTTTCACTTATATCTTACATTAAAAAATCCCAGTACACACAGCTTAATCGTATTATTTGGAGCAGCTGTGGTCCTTCATAGCCTGTAATACCATAATTTAACCATCTTCACATGATAGCTGTTCACTTTTTTTTTTTTTTTTTTTTTTTTTTTTTTTTTTGGTACCGGGATCGAAGCAGGTGCCGGAACCACTGAGGTAAATCCCTGGCCCTATTTGCTTTCTTTTTATTCCTTCAACTAATGCTTTAGAGAATATCTTTCCATGTCTTTGTAATTTATCCGGAATTGTTATGGTACATTTTTGGAAGTGTAATTGTAAGAAGAAAAGATACATATATCTTAAACTGAATTGCTGTCATTGATTGCTCTCCAGAAAGAATGAACCTGTTGATTATTCAGTGCCCTTCACCCATATTGAATATCATCAAACTTTAATGTTTGGCAGTCTGGTAGATCAGGAGTGGCACACATTTTTTACAAGGCCCATGTAATAAATATTTTTTGCTTTGTGCTGTATGGCCTCTGCCCTCTGGAACTCTGTGAAAACTGTTCAGAAGCATTTGTGGAAGATACATAAATGCTAGATGTGACTGGGTCCCAAGAAAACTTTCCTTAGAAAGCCCATGGTGGGCTGGATTTGGCCAGAGGGCCATAGTTTGCTGAGTTTGTTTGTGGTATATTAAAATAAAAAAGTTAACTTGTATTAGTTTTACATTTCTTTAGCTGAGTGAGTGAAGGTGAGAATTTTCTTCATTCATGAAACTGAATTGGGCTCTCTACTAGATGTAGGAATATAGCAATGGACATTATCATTTGGGTGGGGGAGTAAGAAAGAGGCTCTGAAGAATTACACTAAGGGCAGGGCTGGGGATTTAGCTCAATGTTTCTGCTGTCTGCCTCACAAGCACAAGGTCCCAAGTTTGATCCCTGGTTCCAAAAAAAAAGTACACTAATAAATGATAGTGGTGATAAGTTGTCTGTTGACAAGGAACTGAGGTGTGACTAGAAACCAGGGTTTTGGGTGGGAGCTATTTTAGCAAAGAAAAACAACTCCTAAGGGATATGGCCATTGGTTTGTATGAGAAGGAGCTAGCTAGGTTTACTATAGCTACTGACTACTTTTTAACAACTCAAAATTTAGTGATTTAAAACTATGAATATTTATTATGTCACAGTTTCTGAGGGTCAAGGAATTTGGGAGTGGCTTAGCAAGGTGGTTCTGACTCTAGGTCTCTGTTGAAATTTCAATCAAGATGTTGACCAGGTTGCATTTTTTTGTTATTGTTTTGAGACAGGGTCTCACTATATAGTTCAGGCTGGCCTTGAACTCACAGTAATCCTCCTGCCTCAACCTCCTGAGTGCTGAGATTACATGCATGCGCCACCACACCCGACTTAGATTATAGCCATTTTAAGGCTTTCCTGGGATAGAGGATCTGCTTCCAGAAATTTACTCAAGTACTTGCTGACAGGAAGCCTCGTTGCCTTCCTGCACCGGCCTTTCTGTATGGCTCCTAGAGTGACTTATGGCACCGGAGCTGGCTTTTCCCAGGGTAAGCAATCCATAAGAGCAAAGAGGAAGCTGCAGTGCTTTTTTTGACTCAGTCATGGAAATACACACACCGTCACATCTTCCTGGGTACTGTGTGTAAAGAAAGACCTAATGTTTATTTGTACATGTTTGTGGAAACACAAGCATACATGTAATAAAGGACTGGAGTAATATACATTAAGATGTTGATAATAGTTTTCTCTGCATAAGATGACTAAGGATAATTTACATGTTTCTTTGCTAATCTTTATTTTTCGGACACCAGCGATATGGAAATGAAGGAATTATTCTTTATTATTAGGAAACTTTTATGCTTCGTAGTCTAATGGGGGTGAAATGTAGGCTTATTAGGTATAAAGTGATGAGAATCCCTTGGGAACTTGAAGGAGAAACATCTGATTCACTCTGGGGGAATGATGAAAGCCAGTCCTTGGGATATGATTGATTAGTATGTAGTTAGGTAGAGGTGTGAAAGAGGAATGTGTTCCTCCTGCCTCGGTCTCCTAAGTAGATAGAGTTATAGTATTTTAAGTTTTATTTTTAATTTACACATAATTATACATATTATAGGGTACAGTGTGATATTTAGAAACATGTACACGTATAATGATTAGTTCAGGGTAGGTACTGTATCCTGCACTTCAAATATCATTTCTTTGTGGCAATAACATTCAAACTCCTCTCTTCTAGCTATCTTGAAGCATCACTTCTAATTAGCTGTAGTCCCTCTGCTGTGTAATAGATAGAAATACATACAGGTATCGATGTAAAGGGCTGAGTTGAATATTCCCCAAAGGCTCCTGTGTTAAAGCTTTGGTCCCCAGGGTGGTGCTCCTGGGAAGTAGTGGCGCCTTTAGAAATGCGACCTTAGGTTTCTGAGTGCTTGCCCTTGAAGGAGTGTAGGACTCTGGTGCCTTCCTGGCTTTTTATTCTCTGGCCATGAGTGGGTGGCTTTGCTCTGCCAGCCATTTCTGCCATGATGTGTGCTGCCTTGCCTCAGACAGGCCCCAAACAACAGGCCCAGCCGGTCATAGCCTGAAATTCCAAACTGTGAGCCTGGATAAACCCTTTGTCTTTCATAGTTGATTTTTTCAGATATAGTATTTTCTTACAGTATTTTTAATTATTTTTAAATCATTTAAAAATTGTTAGGACTTGGAGTTGATTTTATAGGTGTTAAGTAAAAGAATTTCCTATTGTATAGAAATCAGAGGCATAACTACTATAAATATGTTTATATCTTATTTTTTAATTAAGAACATTTCATTTGGGGGAAACATTTTTACTGCTGTGGAAATTGAGGCTAAAAATTTATATCTATATGCTATATATCTATATATAACTATACTAGATATATAACTAGTTATATATCTATATGTCTAACTTTCTGCTTTTCAGATACGAGATAGTGTCATTTCATAAAAATGTTCTGTTTTAATCTTTTGTACTGTTGTTTGAGGCATTTGTTATTTTATTTTTATTTTGATGAGAACATTTACAATCCATCCCATTAACTTAATTTTTTAAACTCAATGATTTTTGGAGCATTAGCTATCTCCTACAATTTTTTAATTATTTTGGCAGCATTTCCCCCCAGTTTTAGTTATAGATTCCATTATTTAGGTTAAGATTTAAGAAAGAATGCATGTAATAATTTAATTTTTCAAAGAAGAAATTTGTTCATGTAGTTCTGTGACAGTCACATGTAATACTTTTCTCTTTTAGCCTTTCTCAGAAAAGTCTACAGTATCCTGTCTCTACAAGTACTCTTAACAACAGTAACATCTACAGTGTTCTTATACTTTGAGTCTGTACGGACATTTGTGCATGAAAGGTAAGGTAATGAGATGATTCTCAATTATTTTCAGATACTGATGGCATACTGATACATATTTTCAGATATGATCGAAAAGATATATATAGGTATATATAAGTTCTTTTTTTCCCCTGTGAAATGCAAAAAAAATTCATTATCTAATTCCTATAAGTTAAATTAGTTTTGTTTTTGATAAAGGAAAATGTTCCACAACAGAGTGTTTTACCTCTTTTTAGTTTATACTTTTTTAGCATTAAGGTTCTACCTCCTGAAATAGTATTAATAATTTTTACTGCATGCAATTTAAGTCTTAATTATCTTTTTGTACTTTATTAGACTATTTTCCCTATCCCCAAAGTTCTTGAAAAAAATTACTTAATAAATGTGTGATTATTTTAGTTTTGGCTGGTAAGTAGGATAATTTCACAGAAAAGTTTCCAGAAGGGCCCCTAGTGATCTGACCTTAATAATTAAGATTTTTATCTTCAACATAATTATTTCTGTGGCTAAAAATAATAGGATTTCATTATATTAAAGGAAAGGGGAAATAAAGAGTATTTTCTTAGAAGTAAAGAATTTCTGTCTACACTCCCCTACCAAAGAAGAATCTTAAGTTATTAGTTCTCTATTTGGTGATGAAATAATTTAAAGTACAGCCATATGGTAAATATCCTAAAAAAGTGTTTATGTATAAAGTTTGTTTGTTGTATAATATCTTTTATGTATTGTATTTTAGTTATAAAAATATTACAGTAATTACAAACATTACTCAAATATGATAATAGTTCATGAAGTAATAAAGGAATGTCTCTCCCTATCATTGTGAGCTGTTTTTCTTTATTCTGCTGTTCTTCCTCACCTGATACACCATAGATTTTTGTAGGTATAAAAATATTTATTTTGACAGTTTGGTATGGGTCAATCATTTTAGATTTTTTTCTTGTACTTTTATGAATGCAAGAAATAGATAAATTTATTAAATTGGATAAAACTGTTCATGCTATTTTAAAACTTGATATGTTTTAATATTATGTCTTTTAGTCCTGCCTTAATTTTGGTGTTTGCCCTTGGAGCTTTGGGTTTGATTTTTGCGCTGACTTTAAACAGACATAAACATCCCCTTAACCTGTACCTGCTTTTTGGCTTTGTGAGTACTCTGACAATGTGTATTCTTTTAGCATTTAGCCTGACTTTTCAGTGTTTATTTAGTTGAATAATTAACAAAATTGAGTTTTATTTTAGTAAATTATTTGTAATTTTGTAGTCTTTTAGAATTTTTAAAGATTTGTTAATTTCAACAAAGTTTCTATTAATCTTAAGATTTAGTAGAAAAAATACTGAATTGGAATCAGATGACTATCTGGTTATGTGATATTTGGCAAAGTATTTAGCCTTTCTGTACTGAATTCTTCTCATATGCCAAATGAAAATATTAAGATAGATAATCCTTGTGATACTTTCTACCTCTAATATTCTGTAATGGGGGAGTTATATTGTATCCTTAATTTCACAGAATTTAAATTCTTTTTTTTTTTTTGGTGACACTGGGGATTAAACCTAAGGCTTTTTCACTGAGCTATATCCACAGCTCTTCTATCTTTTTTAGTTTGAGACAGGATCTAAGTCACTAAGCTGCTCAGGCTAGGCTGGAATTTTTTATCTTTCTGCCTCAGACTTCCAGAGTGCTGGGATTATAGTCATGTGATACCCTGCCTAATTTGGAGAACCTAACTCTAGATTTGTTGAGATAGCTACAAAAATTAAAACTTCAACTGTCACCTATAAAAATTAAATCTTTGTTTGAACAAGATTGTTAAGGCTCAACATATTATAACATGGTTTCTTTACTTGTATGACGTTGGGTTCTGACATGAAAATTTACTTCCAAACATTCCAAACTAATAACAATATTTGCAGTTGAGTAAGAATGCAAACACTACTGGTCAGATTAAATTGCTTTAAATTAAAGAAAGCTTGTGAGTTCTTTTTTTAAATTTTTATAGTAGATAATGATTACATTCATTGTGGGGAGTTGATACATGTATATAACACATCTTAGTTCCTTTTTTATCCCTTTCTTCTTGCCTCCTTTTTTCCACTCTTCATCTCTTGGTTACTTTCCCTTTTGCAGAAGATCTATGTTATTGTTTTCTATTATCTAGCTTTTGTTTTGCTCTTTATATTTTGGGCTTCATTTATCATTATGGTCTCAAGGTACACACATTTTCCTACAAATGACTCGACTTTATACTTCTTTATGGAAGATTAATACTCCATTGTGCATATATAGCACATTTTCTTTAACCATTCATCTACTGATAGACATATGAAAGTTTATGAAGTCTTACAGTAAGTTTGTGTTAACATGATGAAATAAAAGCTCAGGACTTGGGAAATTTCAATTATAAGAGATGTTATTCATTTAAATCGTAAGCTCTTATGTTTGCAGGTTTGTCAGTCCTAACCCAAGTTATCTCAAGCAACATGGAGGTTATTTAAGGATATAAGAGCTTGGTAACCCACCAACCCAAACCTAGCAGGCATTAAGAAGAAGAACTACAAGAAGGGCCTAGAAATGATGCTATTACAAAAAATTCAGGGCAGGAGTTTGTGGTCTCTTCTTCCTAGTTCCATTTATATCTCATCTCTATCTCACAACTGTCCTTGTACATTGTTTTCCTTTATTCCGTCTTTAAGTTTTATATGACCTATTGTTGGCTCCCACATTCACCTTTTGACTTTAGATCCTACTGCCATCACTTGCTTCTCTTGATTTCAGTTTCCTGAGTGAGAAATAATCCTACTGACATTGGTCACATGGTAAATTGTTAGTACATGGGGGGATGGTCCTTAGGTCAGATTTCAACTCCTGGGAATTTGCACTGAACTACATCAGTCAGCTCTATGCCAGGAGAGCTGTTGGAGACAAAAAAAGAGAGTCGTGTTAATTTCCTCTTCACATCTTCATAGAGCCTCCTTTCAGAAAGTCTGAGCTCTATATGAAAAGAGTTTATGGGACAACTTTTGCCCAGCAAGGGTGGCCTTACTAAAAAAGCATTAGCCAAATGCTTTGGGCAAGATGGTTATTAATTGCTAAACCTATTAATCATGCCTGTAGCATAGTTTAGCAATAAGAAAATATGTAAAATACATTTCTTCAGGTTACTCTATGACCTCTGACACAATTTTTTTTGTCTTTCTGCATGAAAATAAAAGGAAGGAGGGGTGTTTATGTATGCATTTTAAAGAGGACATTCATTTGGGAAGGAGTTATATTTACCTAGTCCTTACATTTACTCCCATTTATATTGTCCTATCTCTTTCAGATACTTGAATATGGGAGGAGGTGGAATTTCTTTTCTAAAATTATATCACAAATACCAAGAATATAATTATATTGCTCAGAAAAAGTACTTCTATCATCTTTTGCTACCATGTCCCTGATACTACCATGACATTAAAACATGACAGCAGCATTATTGGTTCCACATCTATAATTTCTAATACTACTTTGCATGTTCCAATGCTTTGATTTCAAGTAGGATGAGTACAGGGAATGCTTTTTACCAAAAGTGTGTTATACAGCTTCTCTTGTCACTTCCATCTTTGTCTTTGTTATATGGTCTGTCAGATGGTTGATAAAATCTAATGAGAGTAAGCATATAAAACAAAGTAAAATGATGTAATTAAGTGGAAAGCAAGGATAAAGGACAATCCTTAATATCCCCCCCAATTTTTTATTTAGGACATGGGTTCAAATATTTTCTTTAGAATATAGGTTCAGCTACTTGTGACATGGCTTAAACAGTGACAAAATAACAGTGGTTTAAACAAGATAGTTTATTTCTCTTTTATATAAGAATCTGAATGACTAATGAAGTTATCAAGGGCTCAAGCTCCTGCTATGGTTCAGGTATTTCTAAAGTGTTGCATAATGTAAGATAGCTCACTACCATATCCACACGGCATCCAGTTACCAAGGTAAAAAAGAACAGGACAGAAAAAGTGAGGAGAGCAAGCTTTATGCTTTTAGAGCACAATATGGAAGTTGTACATTCTCTATTCATATTAAATTGACAAGAATATAGTCACATGACCAGACCTAGCTACAAGGGAGAATGACAAACGTAATGTTTAATCCAAACAGCCAGGTAAAAACTTTGTTACTAAGGAAGAAAGTGAGAATGAATATTGGGAGACAGTTTTAAAACTTCCACATCAAAGTACTACCCAATTATTTTTTCTTCTAAATGTCTGAGTGAAATATTGAAGTTTTTATTGATTTCAATATCATTTTTGTTTACATTATAAAGATTAGAAAATAGAATTTTCTATGTAGTTTCTACTATATAATCTTCCTGTTTCAGATATTAAAAGTCTGATTAGAGAAGAAAGAGTGATAGAACCACAATTAGAATTTAAATATACTCACTTGGTACATTGAGGTCTCATTTCTTATGGTGGTGGGCTTGATAACTGTCCCATACGCTTGACAGAGATGCTCTGAAGGTAAAATGAGATCATTCGTAGGGGGATCACATTAAACTCCCAGAAATTAGAAAATATACGTAAGAGAGTATACATTTTACATGCATTAGTTAATTTTAATTTCTTTTTTATAGACACTTTTGGAAGCTCTGACTGTCGCAGTTGTAGGTAAGCCATAATTGTGCTTCTATATGTTACAGTAATTTTAATGTGGATAAATATTTTAGTTAAAATGGTAATTGGGGTTAAACTTTAACATCATGGGATGTCATATGTCAAAAATACAGCATGGGACAAAGATTGTCTAAAATATAAACAAAAGTTAAATATTTATATAGTAAAGCTGAGCTTACAGGAAGTAGAAAAGTTTAAGGTAAACAAATGGAAGGGAGAATAATATTTCATTTTTTACTTATTTATAAGAATAAGACAACCATATCTAATCTTTTCCCTGATTTAAAGGGATCTTGGAAGAATTAAGACCATGTGTTTTGAGCTATGTATATGAAATCAGCTCCTTCAGAATTTTCTGTACTTTATTGCTGTATCCTCTTTTTTTTTTAAACTAAATGGCATTACAAGAAGCAACAATACTTTATTTTTCTATAATTCATGTTACATATGTGTTGAAAGGCCTGAGGTCTGTTTTAATTAATTGAATTACTTTTTGTAATACTTCAAATTAAAAATTTCAATACATTAACAAGACTTCTAATTGTCTCAAAATGATTAACACTGGGTACCAAACAGGTCAGCATTAACTATTACTCTCTATAACAGCAAGTTGTTAATAACTATGGTTAATATATTTATCTCTTCCTATTTTGTCATTACTATTTTTAATCCTTCGATGCCAATTTTCTTGATTCTGTTTTTTGGCAATCTACTACTTTTTATTAAAAGAATCAATATAAATCAGAACAAATAAATACTAAAATAAGTAGAATTGAAGCTTCTCAGCATAGAAAGGAAGTATTGATATGGATTAGCTTATTATGTATTAGTGTTGCTATCTATTAATATTACTTACTATTAATGTTATGAAAGTCATCTCTTCCCCCTTCTAGTGTCCATCATGTGGAAAGAAGATAGGAGAGAGATTTATATAAGGTTTATTGGAACTGGGGTAAAAATATATAATATTTTTATATAATGGGAACATTATTTTCCTCACTAATTGTAATATCTTTCCCTCTTGACTGTGTACTACAATTGTTAACAAGAAGCAAATTTGATTTTTTAAGTTTTATCTTTTCTGTGTTCACCTTCCTAATCCTATCCCAAGTAGAGAAATTCCAATAATTTAGGAAGAGAAATAATGTGGATAATTAGTCCTGGAAATTTTTTAAATTACTTAAGTGGTTTTGAGTTCAAAGCCTTTAATCTCCTTTGAAGCTCTTAAAGTCTCTATTATAATTTAGCATTTATTAAAATGTTGAGGAATTGTATTATAATAGCCATAGTCAACCTGGATGATTGTTTTGAAATTAGGGAAGTGAGTACATACTCAGCAACTTCACAATAATGTACTGCAAGATAATGCAGATTTAGATGTGAAGCACTTAGTGACTTTTTCTGTCCTCTGCAGGGTAGGTAAATGGCAGGCCACCCCAGCCTCAGAATTTCCCTTGCTCAGTTCCCTTGAGTTGGGATGATAAACTGGGCATAGCTGACCAGATGATTGCTAACAGTGCTGCTTCTGTTTAGGAATTCCTAGAAAGCTAAGGACCCGACCAGAGTCATCTCTTATTGATAGTTTAAGCCATAATGAACAGTCATGAAAGATGATGATAAACTGCAGAAGGGACAGAGGTGACTAGAATCATTCTAATGATATCCCTAAAACTCAACTGGTTACCTATGTAATTCCTCTATAGTCATTTCATTAACTTCATCATAATGTGACCCCTTTATTTTGTGTGAATGCATTTTTTGGAGCCTGTTTATAGCATCTATGGGTGTGATTTTACTGGATCAATATATTCAAGGCTGGATGAGGGATCTTAAGTGTTTTTACTGGTGAGTTGTATATGATAAAGCATTTCCATTAAATGCATTTCTATTAAAGGATGTTTTATGGAGTGTATTTATGTATGCTTTTAATCAATGTTTTAATTTTACAGTTACCTTCTATGATGTATATATTATTCTGCAAGCTTTTATACTGACTACTGCTGTATTTCTTGGTTTGACTGTATATACTCTACAATCCAAGAAAGACTTCAGCAAATTTGGAGCAGGGTAAGTTATAAGTTTTTGGATATATCAGATAGATGTCTTTAATATTATAGGTGGCTTTGAGGGAAGTGTTCTGCTATTAGCTTTGGGTACCTTAAACTGGAGGGCAACTGGAGGTCATCTCTATGTACTAAAATCAGACTACTTTCCCAGAGCCAAAACAGGAGATGGAAAGTAGGTTTGAGTCATTTCCTTCCCTCCTGTAGTGAAAGGGAAATGAATGTCAGAGAGAGAGAGAGAGAGGAAGAAAAAGGAAAAGGAAAAGGAAAAAGAGAAGGAAGGCAGGCAGGCAGGAGGGCAAAAGTTGTGGAGCCTATGTGCCAAAAGGAGACACAAACACTGAGCAAAAAGATTTTCTTCAAAAAAGCTTATAGGCTTTTGATTCTGATGTGATTATAGGGTATACTGGGGATTCAAGAGATATATGTTGACTGTATGGTAGCACCAGGCAGTGGTAGCAGTGTTCACTGACTCACAGCCATATGGTTTTTGCAATACTATTTTATTTATTATCATTCATTATCCTGTAGTAGTTTTGTCACAAAAGGAATTGTTGAATCTTAGAACTATGTGTAGTAAATGGCAACTTGCATTTGCATGCTAGAGCTAGTTTGAACCAATTTACATGAAGAAACTTGAAAGTCAATTGTTAAATTGTTGACAACTTAAAATAATCTATGATGGATGTATTCACATCACAGAAGTCAGAAAGTGCTATATACCAGGGTTTATTTTTGTTCCCCCCAGAGAGGCTAGTTTACCAACACCATATAGTGATACGTTGTTTTTAAATCTTTGGATTTTTTTTTTTAGTACTGGGGATTGAACTTGGGTCTCGGGTTCTTGGGCTTGCAAGGCAGGTGGCAGAACCACTGAGCTAAATCCCTGGCTTCTGTGATTTTTATTGGGAGGAGAAAAGATATAATTTATTTTTGCCAGTCCTGTAGATGGAGTCAGAATGGCAAAACTTGTGGCATTTCTCATCTAATCTCATCTATAGTCTCAGAAAGTTTGCTCTCTAGTGTTTAAATATTTGAGATATAAGTCAGAGTGCTAGTGAAGTAATAATTTAGGAAGGCAGTTCATAATCTTTAAACTTCTACTGGACTGTTGCTGTATTTATAAAGATTATTGTCATAAACTGAAAACTCGTAGGCTCCAGTTCTTACCAGAGACTTAATAAATGGAGTCTGTGAGCCCAAACAACCCTTCTACCATGTACTATACACTTAGGTCCCTGCTTGCCAGACTTTTTGTTGTAGTGGAGAAAAGATGTCTTATATGTCCAGTTATAGTAAACAATAGAGTTAAATTAATGGCCAAAGTTCTCTGCCAGCCCTGTCCTAATCTCTTTATCAGAATTCTCAAGGAACTGCCTTAGTATCTTTTGAGAGATACTTTTTGGGAGGGTCTCATGTTCCTGAATGTCTTGTGACTGACTTACTGACTGCCTTTTGTTCCAGACTGGTGTTTTTATAATAGCTTGAACATTAACAATGTCTCCCTCTAAAGCAAAGAGCAAGTATGCCAACTTTCCATAATTAAAAAAAAGTTTCAGTTCCCTAAATTCAAGGTTTCTCTTGTTATAACACAACTCAGTTTGTATATAGTTATCTTCTGGCATCACCCTGTGTGAACTGAGGTTTCTGGTGTAAAAATGCTGGTTCCGTAGCTACTGCTATTGCGGAAATAAACTTTTAAAAATCTCAGACATAGGAGATTCATGCCTTCTCCCAGCATCTATGAAACTATACCAGACTACTTTACTTTTTAAAAAGGAAGGAGGGTATTAACATATTCATTGTATATTTATGAATTTTTACACTTTATTCTTTGGCAAAAATCTGAATGAATTTGTTTCTTCAGGAAATGTTGAATAGGTCTACCTAAGTCTTTTTTTGGCAAGACAGTATTTTACATTACTATAATTTTATTTTTAATAGGCTATTTGCTGTTCTATGGATTTTATGCCTATCAGGATTCTTGAAGGTAGGTTGCTTAAAGTGGCTAATTTGAAATATATTCTGGAAGGCAATATAGTAACTCAAAAATCTGGAGGAGTTAGTCTTAAGACACTTGGTTATAATTGTTTGGAACATTTGTATATAGAATGATTATAGAGTAATCTCTAAAAATATCAGGGCCATTTGTTTATCATTTTTATTGACTGAAAAAAAGATGAATGAGCAAATGAGTTAAATTACATAGTAGAAGGCCATGCTTGTAACTCCTACTATCTTCCAAGTGGGACATTTCAATTTAAAAAAGAAATACATTTTTAAATAATTTGTATTTGGAATGCTAGTATTCAAAGTAGAGAAGGAAGTTTAATAGAAGGACAATATCCATTCATTCATCCTTCCATCAAACAGAAGCGTGGACCTGCCTTGCCTTTCTGTTTTTAACATAAGATTAAAAATTGTACATCATTATTAAATATGTATATAGCAATAGATCATTAGTGGAAATAATTTAAGTATTCCTAATAAGCATCCAAATATAAATGTATTTCTTTAATCTCTTGCCAAAGATGTTTTTTCATAGTGAGACAATGGAGTTGGTCTTGGCTGCTGGTGGAGCCCTTCTTTTCTGTGGATTTATCATTTATGACACTCACTCACTGATGCATAAAGTATCACCTGAAGAGTATGTATTAACTGCTATCAACCTCTACTTGGATATTATCAATCTATTCTTGCACCTGTTGCGGTTTTTGGAAGCAGTTAATAAAAAGTAATTGAAAACAGTATTTAAGACTTTCATTAAGTAATAAAGTTTGAGATTTAATTGTTAAATACTTTTATGGTCTTTATTAGTATTCTGAGCTTTAAAATCTCACTATTCCTTATGGTATATGTTATTTCTAAATTCTTGTAAATCAGGTAAGAGATATAAAAATTCTATCTTTTTATTTTATAATCCTACATTAGCCATACCTAACTTCATTTGTAAATCAAAAATAATTTTATATTACAACATTTATCTTCAGTGATTTAAATTTCCCTTATAATCAGATTTGATTTTGATTCTGAAGTACTAGTGTCCACCATAATAAAGTGTAAATCTACTTTCACTAGCTTTTAATCTCATAGAGTAAAAATTATAAAAGAAATTCTAGAGAATTATTCAGTATTAATTAAAATTGTATTCCACTGTTAATGGCATTGTATTATAAAATGTATTAAATATAAGATGTATTAAAATTTAAAAGTGAAAGTCAGATAAAATTTGACAGTAATTTTTTTAAAGTACAGGGTTTATTTAAAAATTACACAGCATGGTTATATTGTTAAAGGACTCAAAGATACTGGCCCACTTGACATTAACTATATGTACTGAAAATAAAAATATTTGAAAAATAGTGTCCTGTAGTTCAGTTTGTGTTTGTCCATACAATATATAGGTAAGCATACCAGTGACCCATGAAGTTTTGGAAAATTTCTTCACTGTAAGTATTCCTCCCTTATTTACAGTTTCATGGTTTGTGGTTTCAGTTTCCTAAAGGCTACTGTGGTCCAAAACTATTAAGTGGAAAATTCTAGAAATAATTTATAAGTTTAAAATTGTGTAGGTTCTGAGTAGCATGATATACTATTATGCTGTTCTGCTCTGTCCTCCTTGAGACATGATCCTTTTGCCCAGTGTATCTAAACTGTACCTGTTATCTCTTTCTTATGGCTCAATGATCCAGGATCACCTGAAGCAGATGATTTTCCTTGTACACAGTCAGAAGGTTAATAGTGACCCACCTCTGCATCAGTACCTGTGTCATTCACACTTCATTTCATCTTATAAGCTTTATATCCTTTCATATCACAACACTGAATACAGTACAGTCTTTTGAGATACCACATTCATATAACTTTTATTGAAATATATTTATTTATTTATTTATTTTTGGTGCTGGGGATCAAACTCGGGACCTTGCAATATAGTTATAATTCTATTTTATTATTAGTTTTTGTTAATCTCTTACTGTGATTAATTTATAAGACTTTATCGTAAGTGTGCATGTATAGGAAAAAGCGTAGTATAGATAGGGTTTGGTACTTTTGTGGTTTCAGATATCCACTGGGGTATTAGAATATATCCCCAATAGATTAGGGGAGACAACTATATTAGTGTCCTAAGGCTGACATATCCAGAGACAAATGGCTTAAACAACGAATTTATTTCTAACAGTTCTAGAGACTGGGGAGTCCAAGATCAATGTGTTTTTGTTTTGTTTTTCTGAGGCCACTTTCTTGGCTTGTACATGGATGTCTTCTTGCCATCTTTACCTGGTCTTTCACTTTGTGTCCAAATTCCTTCTAACAAGGAAATCGAGTATGTTGGATGAGGGCCCATCTTAATGACTTCATTTTTCTTTAATTACCTCTACAACATCAATTAAATCTTTAGTGATTTAAACTAAATTTCCCTATTCACATTCTGAGGTTAGGGCTTCATCATATGAAGTTTTAGGGGATACAAGTCAGCTGTTTTGACTCACTAAGCATCATTTTCCATCTATTAAAGTAATATTTAGTCTCGAGTGACTTTTAGATCAACAGTTCTTTGCTCAATAATCACCCACTTGCAGGAAGCAATACAATCAAACATGTAGTATAGTGAATCATAGCATTTAGATTATAATTCTTTTTTTTTTTTCTTCTGGGATTTGGGATCGAACTCAAGACTTTGCTTTTGGCAAGGCAGGCGTGGTGCCACTGAGCTAAATCCCTGGCCCTAGGTTATAATTCTTAATATGCAATTAACTGGAAAGTTATTCAGCCTGCTTTATTTAGGTCTTTTGCCACTTTTTTTTTTTTTTTTTTTTTTTTTTTTGGTACCAGGGATTGAACTCGGATCCTTGTGCTTGCAAGGCAGGCCACCAAACCGCTGAGCTAAATCCCTGGCCGTTTTGCCACATTTTTATAATGGAAATAATAATACCTCATTCGTCTATTAAAGAAATGAAATGAGATAGATATATAAACTAAGTATACAGTTAAATGTTTTTAATCTAAATATAGAATAGAATGAGTTGACTAAAAATAAGCAAAAACATGACATTTTAAAAATGCAAGATGATATTGTTTAAGAAATGTATTTTTCATAATTTTATCAAATAAGTTTATCCCTTTTGATGACAAATCTCTAAAATATGTATAATTTTTGATATGTGTCATAGTTGTTGGGTATAAAGGGATCCCTGGACCAAAATGCTTGAAAATTACTGCTATAAATACTCTATTTTATAAATGAACCACAAGCATACATTTTTCAGCCAATTAATTTTATTTTTTTTACTTTTTTATTTTTTTTGCAGTAACAGGGATCAAACTCAGGACCTTGTGCTTGTGAGGCAGGCACAGTGCCACTAAGCTAAATCCCCAGCCCAGCCAATTAATTTTACATGGCAATTCTTTTTTTTTACTGTCAGTGCTGCTCTGTACATCCTTGAATATATCCTACTATAGGCATGAGAGTTTGCTAAGTAGAGAGTATAATGAGAAGATAATTACTGTCTATAAGGGCATTACAACTTCAATTTTTTTGTATCAAGTAAATGTATAAGTATAAAAATTTGAGAAAAAAATTGAAAAGTGGAATTAGCAGGACTTGGACAGAGCAACAGGCAGCTCAGTGTGCAAAGAACAAACAGCCAGATTGCTAGGAGGAAAAGGAGAGAAAAGTAGAATCTGAACTTTTGTAGATATTTAGTATCATTTGTGAAAAGAGATGCAGTAAGCCATGTGTACTCACCCTTTTTCTTTGCAGGCCTCAAACCTGGCTTCTATACACTTAACTGTAATTCTGAGGATTAGTGATGTCAGTAGCGAGCCACAGGCCATTTTGGAGCAGCCAGGATCTTAGATTCTTTTTACTTTTATCTTTGTAGAGCTTTGAAGTCCCCATCATCTACGGAATTGGTAATATGGAGTCACCACCTGAATTTCAGAAATCTTGTTCCTTATTAAGTCACAATGCACATCACAAATTCCATGAAGAGGCCTGGCTGCAGGTCCCCACTCACTAGCTGTTTCTAGTAGGCTGGCAGGGCTTTTAGATGGGTATTCAGTTGGTTGCCTGTCAAATGTCCAGCACTACCCTCGGTGTCTTCAGTTCCATCAGTTTCTTCCAGCTCTGTGAAGAAGTGACCTACCTTGAAATTTTATTCTACCAGAGGTTAAAGTTGTCCAAACACAGTCATTTGGTTTCCATGACCCTTGTACATTCAGCAAAATGTCTGTTACAGAGTATAAACTGCAACATATGAATGAGCAGATGAAGGATTTTATATACACTGAGGCCAACCAATAAAAAAAATAATTAAAAAAGAAATATACTAAGATCATTTAACTGTGTTACAACTACAGTATTTTCATACAAACTGGTGAGGGAAATAAAAATTTTTTTCAGTAAGTCCATGATCCAGCTTTTAAAGGCATACGTAATGTTGAGTTTGTGGCATTTATTTTAACACTGGTATTTTCATAATAGGGTTTTTTTTTTTTGGGGGGTGCCATATTTTTTGGTGAAAAGTTTTGGGCTAGTATATTAAGCTTGATGTAGTCAATGTGAACTATCTGAAAGAACATTTTTTAATTTAAAATGCAATACACACATGCACATTTTTGGGGATATATGGCTACATTTCAATTTGAAATACTGAGTTTCTCAGCCTGTTTTTTTTTTGTTGTTGTTTGTTTTGTTTTGTTTTGTTTTTGTACCTGGGATTGAACTCCGGTCCTTGAGCTTGCCAGGCAGGCCACCGAACCGCTGAGCTAAATCCCTGGCCCATCAGCCTGTTTTTAAAAATGCACAGTATTCTGAATTTAGTAAATTTCCATGTTATGGTTTCTTAAAGGACACAGATTTAAAGAAAAAAAGTTAATCACATATTGTCTCACAAAGAAATCTCTTTACTATCAGCCAAAAAGGAATGTATTAGGCCACTAAAGACAATTCTTGTTTCTTGCCGTATTTTTGAAATTACAATACAGAAGAAGTGCTACCATTTGTTGAGCTCTCATCACCTATCTGGGGTCAGTGAGATTGTATCTTCACCACAGGGACAAGGAAATCCAAGATCTAAGATTATTTACTTACGTACAAGTGTTGGAGCCAAGAATATAATACAGAATTATGTGGTTTTAAAGCCTATGCAAGGAGGTAGGAGTGTGGCTCGCTCCTTGGTAGACTACTTGCCTACCGTGTGTAGGCCTTGGCTCTATGCCCGGCATCACACACTCGCACACACACACACAAGCAGGACTGTCTTATTAGAAGCATATGTAAAATAGTGTTGTTTGTGACCTCAGAGCAAACCTATTTCTTAGGCTTAGTAGTTTAGTAGTGTGGCATGTTAAGTATTCAGATAAACATTGGTTAAACTGAAATAGTTTGATCATTTTAAACTCTTCCTTCTTAAAGGATCTCCTTTGATACTTTAAACTCTTCTTTGGGATAGGAAATAATTCTTCTGTTTTTAGTGACAGCTTTGAGATTTGTTAGACTAAGCTGCACGTATTTAATGTGTACGTACAGCTGGGATGAGAAAATTTCCAGGCTTCAAATAGGCTAATCATTAGCTCTAAGCAATGACTGGGTGACTGAGTCCGGCCTGGGGTTTGACAGGTGGGCTCTCATCTCTTTATCTGACAGACAGGGTTAACAGGGCCGGGTTTGCTCCTTGTGATTACTTTCAGGAGTATCCCTCCTGCGTCCGGGACCTACCTGCCCACCTGGAGCCTGACCCTTGACTGAAACTTTTGCATTCTTAAAATCTGACTTCTATACCTGTAAGAGTTCAGCCACGTTCCAAGGAGGGAGGACACACCAAAAGTGAAAGTTGTGTCAGAGACCGGCTCCAGTGATCGGCTCCAGAGACCCCGCCTCTCAAGGCTTTCTCTGACGTATGGGCTCCCGGCGTGCCTTGCGACCGCCATGGCCGGAAAGCGGAAGTACGGGAACTTCCGGTTGGTGTGAGTTCTCTTCGGCGAACGTGCTAGCTACTCTGGTGAGTTCCGTGCTTCCTGTATCTAGTGGGACTTGGTGCTCGCCTCTGCCGCTTATAGAGAAGTTTGTCTCAAGCCCTGTTCTCTTTCGGCTAACTTTGACCTTGGGTGTGATAATTCAAGACTGTGTCAAGGGCGAGAGTCCCTGGTTAGGGTTGCCCTCTGGCTTCTTGGTGTAAATGGAGCTGTCCTTTGTTATTCAGTTCCGCTGAAGTTAACTGTGCTCCTGAGAGTTGTTTACTACAACACTTTGCGCAGGGTTTGGGTCGTTTTAGAGCAGGGCGCGCCGTTTTGTGTTTACGCCCGTTCAAAATATAGTTTCCAGCTAGTTATCTAGGCAACAAAGTTTTACCCTTTATGCGGAGCGCTGTGCACTGAGGGATCCAGCTGTAAACAAGAGCTGCTTAACCTCTGCCTTCATGGAGCCTATATTCCGTCGAAGGTGACAAAATAGCTTCAGATTATAACACACATTAAACGGGCGGGGGGAGAGCATTCACGGCTCAGCGACGTAATGAGGTACTGAAAGAGGGACCAAGCCTTGGAAAGAGCAATTTCCAGGCATAGGAACAGCAAATGCCAGGATATTGAAGTGGATGTAGTTGGACTTTTAACAGATGTAATGGGAGGGTAAGGAGGGTGAATAGTGAGAGTTGAAGGAAGCAGAGGACAGATCGCAACCTTTTAGATCTGGAATATATGAGGGGAGAAGTCATTAACATTTTTAAAGAAAGACTGTGTTCGCACTAACCCCGTTGTGAAAGATTCAGGGTTGGGACTGGAAGTGGAGAGAAAGCAAAAGTGGAAAAAGGTACATTTAAGATAGTCGGATTGGCTGGAGTGGGTGAATGAGAAATGGTGCATTAAATGGTTTTATAAAAATTATTTTGTAAATCGTAAACTGTTACATAAATATAAGGAGATGACAGTCCTTGCATTTTGAGGGAAATTCTATTTCTGCATCTTATAAGAAAACTAAGTAGCTGTCAGAATTGGCAACATGTGTAGTTTGCTATTGCCCAAGGGAGTTTGATTTGCCCCTCTTGTTATTTAATGGCAGCATATGCCGCATTGATCCTCCCGTAAGTAGCATATTAACTCACCATAAATCTTGAACACAGTGAAGAGTTCACCCTCCATTTATACCTTTTTGTAAAGATACCCATTGACCTGATTTTCCAAGGATTTGCCTTTTATTATAAATAATTTGCTTTTGTTAACTGCTAGGTAAAACATGGCTAAAAGTTTACGGAGTAAGTGGAAAAGAAAAATGCGTGCTGAAAAGAGAAAAAAGAATGCCCCAAAGGAGCTCAACAGACTTAAAAACATTCTCAAAGTAGACTGCGATGTTTTAATGAAAGATGTTCAGGAGATAGCAACTGTGGTGGTACCTAAACAATGCCAAGAAAAAATGGAGTGTGTGGCAAATTGTGACGAAAAAGGTAATTTTATGTGCTTCATTAAAAATAACACAATTTTGTGTTTCCTTTTATGATTCTTTTTCCTTTTTTGATTTTCTATCTCCACATATTCTCCCCTACACAGAAGAATTGCCCACATATTTATTCTTTGAAGGCAAATAGTGCTATGAGAGAATCTGTTCTAAACTGATTGAAATCTGGTTCATCTCACCAGGCATGTTTTGGATTATTCAGGAGGGTCTTTGGTATAGTCTGAGTATCTCAGGAATAGACAAAAACCTAAGCATATCCTTATTGGAAAGGAACACAATTCAGAGTCTAGGCTGATAGAAAGAGGTCATTTTATTCTTTGCAAGGTCTAGTTTCCATTCTGTAAGTCCTATGTACATATAACTCTGAAAGTCACAGTTTTACTGTATTTGATTTTGTCAGACTCTTAAAAACTTTTGTATCTTAGTCATAATCCAAAGTTGGAGGGAGTATACAGTCCTAGTTTCAGCAGAGGAAAGGCTTATTAGTTTTCACATCCTAATGTATCAATTTGGCAAGTAGCTAAATTGAGGGCCTTAAATAGACATATTTAATTGGTGTCATATCGTCAAAGAAGAGAACAGTATTCTTCAACCTTCCAATTCCAGAAGTTTGCTCTTCTATTCTTCAAAATGACTATTTAAAAAAAATTTCCATTCCATTTCTCATCTCATTCTACTAAAAATGACAAAAACCTCTCTTAAATTCACTTTCTTTAAAATTTAGAGGCAATCAATAGAAAGTCTCATCTTTCCTCTACTCTACCACACTCTAAGAATTTGAATGTGTAGTATTGTTTTCCCTCTTCTATTAATCTTTTAAAGGTTAGATTCTCCACTTATTTTGAATTGTCTCCTGTTGCATTCCTAGGGGCTGTCATTACATGTGTCTTTCTTATGAATCTTCTGCTGGGTCATTCTCAGCAGCATAATGTCTTCTGAGATGTCCCATCTCAAAACAAAGAAAAGAAAAATTTCTCCCTTGAGTGCACATTTCTCTGTCTACTTTATTTTAATCCTTCTTGCAACTTTTGAAACACTTGTTTTTGCTTTCTGTCTTCCTTTCTTCACATTCATGCCACTCCTGCCCATTCACTCTTTATTTTTTGTTGTTGAGGCAAATTCATGTAACATAAAATTATTGTGTACAGTTCAGCCCCATTTAGTTACGTTCACAGTGTTATGCAGTCATCACCACCTCTAGTTTCAAAACATTTTCATCACCCTAAAAGGAAACCCTGCCTACTAAACAAAATCCACCTTCTGCTACCCTTGATCTCTGCCAGTTGGTAATAAATATGCTTCTTTGTCTCTTGAATTTGCTTATTTTGCATGTCATAAATTAATCACATTCTGTAATGTGATCTTTTATGTCTCACCTTTTTTACTTAGTGTAGTATTTTTGAGGTTCAACCACATTGAGTGTAGCATTTTCAGTACTTCCCTTTTAAGGTTGAAAATAGGTCATTTTATTTATCACATTTTACTTACCTTCATTAATTTATGGGCATTTGAGTTGCTACGAACTTATTGTAAACATTTTTGTATAAGTTTTTGCTTGACTACCTGTTTTGAGTTCTTGGTATATCCTTATGAATGAACTGGCTGGCTTATATGTTAATTCTTTATTTACTGTTTTCCACATCAGCGACTTCATTTTACATTTCTGCCAGAAATGTAGGGTTCTAATTTCTTCACACCTTTGCTAATGCTTATTTTCCATAACTTTTTTATTATAGCCATCTTCCTAGGTGTAAAGCAGTATCTCTTGCTTCTCTTGGTTGTATTGTCCTAATACCTAGTAATGGTGAACATTTTTTCATAAACTTACTGGCTTTGTTTATCTTCTTCAGAGAAAAGTATTCAAGTATTTTGAGTGATTTTAAAATTAGATTTTTTTTTTTTTTTTTTGGTACTGGGGATTGAACTCTTGGTTCTTGCACTTGCCAGGCAGGCCACCGAACCACTGAGCTAAATCCCGGGCCTGAGTTGTATGCATTCTTTATAAATTCTGGCTGCCATATATTCATGCATCCCTATGTCTCTTGGATTGACTCTAATTTTCTTTTTTCTCCCGTTTAAAAACATTTTTTTCCTTTTGTTACATTCAATTTTATTTCCAATAACTAGAACCCCTGAAATAATCACTCAACAACTTGTTCCTAAGTGGCTGTTACACACTGCACTGTTTTGGCAGTGTGGAAACAGTGGTGATTAATATAATGTTAGGTAGTAAACATAATAGTAGACCTGTATGTTGTGGTTAGGTCCCAGGGAAGGACGTTCTGGGCATGTTCCTTCCCAGTAGTTAAGGTTGGCATAGGTATGCCATAATATGGTTGCACAGAGCTTTCTGCCAAATCCCCTGTCAGTACAAGTGAGTCACTAGGTGTTATCTGGATAGATGTACGGCAGCCTCAGCAGTTGTCTAGACCTACCTTTGTTGTCTGCTCATCTCTGTCATCAAAACCTTGCTGCTGACCATGCCACTGACTTCATTAGGAATTTATTCTGTTTTCTAGAATATAGTTAAAATTTAAGCCAGGCGTGGTGGCACATGCCTATAATCCTAGCTACTCAAGGCCTGAGACAGGAGGATCACAAGTTTAGGGTCTACTTAAGAATTTATCAAGATCTTCCCTCAAAACAATAAAAAGAGCTGGGGATATAGCTCAGTGGTAGAATGCTTGCCTAGAATATATAAGGCTCTGTATTCAGTCTCCACTACAGAAAGAATAAAAATATATTTTAGTCAAAGGAGTGTTGTTCTATATTTTATTTATTTATTTATTTATTTATTTATTTATTTATTTATTTATTTTGGTGGTACTGGGGATCAGACTTGGGCCTTGTGCTCATAAGGCATGCCGTGGAACTACTGAGCCAAATCCCCTGCCCATAAAAATATATTTTAGAAAATTTAGTTCATGTTCATAAGAAATGGTTAATCATTTTTAATTAGTTCATTTATTTCTAAGTCCTGCCCATTAAAAGTATTGAGTGCACCTCTTATTGCTTTAACCATTTTATTTAACTCAAGGAATCAGCATGAGAGATGGCTCTTACAACTCACATGTGCTCAGAACCTTATGTTATCCATTGATGCAGTAACTCTTAAGCCATACTGTACATTCCAAATATTTCCTATTTAACTTTATTATTCCAAAGGATAGTTGGGACAACAGTCTTCATTGGTTTTCAGTGAGTAAACAGATGGTGTCTTTAGTTACAAACATTTTTTAGATCTTTCGTGGTTGTAGAATACATGACAGCATTATCTGATTGCACTGAGTTTGCTGTAAGAATTTTTCAGTGACAAAGACTACTCCACAAACCAGGGTTTTTTCTTCTGTAGTTCCAGGCTACTGTACTTTCAGTTATAATGCACTCAGTTCATTCATGGGCTTTCACAGGATTGGTTAAACATGAATGTTTTTCTTTCTTTTTTTTTTAAATTCAGATGACATGAAAATGGAGATTGAGATAAAGAGAAACAAAAAGACTCTTCTAGACCAGAATGGACAGTACCCAGTATGGATGAACCCGCGGCAGAGAAAAAGGCTGAAGGCAAAACGAGACAGAAGAACGGGGAAAAGCAAAGCAAAAGCAGTAAAGGCAGCAAAGGGTTTGGCCTGGTAGACCCTGAAAAACTGGGAAATGCCACGAGGTTACAAATGCTTGATTAGAAAGTACACAATGATTTCGGCTCCCATTAAATGAAACTGTTTCCATTTGTATTTTAACTAGGCCTTTTTTCACTTGAAACTCAAAATAATTAATTTGGTTTGGGAAGTTAAATAAAGTAATTTCTTTGGATAAAAGCTGTATTGATGTTTTAGTTGGAAACTGACCAATATTCAGATCTTATCGAACATCAGAATCCTGTGAAGTATTAACGTGGGTGTAATTGTTTTTACAACTTGGTAATAAGTAAATGACATACTGACAAAAATTTGAGTGAACTCATTTTAAAAAGGTTATTATGTAGTCATATTAAAATACAACAATAATATATCTCATAAGCAGTACTTATTTGGAGTTTTGATTTTATAAAATTCAGAATAAAACATACTTTGTAGATTGTGAAGTTTAATCTTTTATATATTCATAAACTTTTCTAGTACCAGAGAACAATTCTTCATTTAAATTTTAAATTTTAGATAGAATGTATAAATCAGTGTTTTTTTTTGTTTTTTTTGTTTTTTTTAGGAAATTAAAATATCTCAGTTTTTCCTGGAACCTTAATATTCTTCATTGTTAGCCTATAATAGTATTTCAGTGTAGCCTAAAATAATATAATGCAGTATTTCCTAGAGACTTCTTCAGAATTTGTTTGTTCAGATGATTGGTTTAAAAATGTATTTGTGGCCAGGCATTGTGGCCCATGTCTGTAATCCCAGCACTTGGGAGGCTGAGGCAGGAGGATCACCATGAGTTCAAGGACAGCCCAAACTAATAGACCCTGTCTCAAGAAAAAAAGTGTTGCTGGGCGTGGTGGTGCACACCTGTAATCCCAGTACTCTGGAGGCTGAGGCAGGAGTATCACAGAGACCAGCCTGGGCTACATAGTGAGCTCCAGATCAGTCTCAACTACATAGTGAGACCCTGTCTCAAAAAAACAAACAAAAAAAGTGGAAAGTGCTATATATTCAAAGATTCACAGGAAGTATTAGCATGGTATAAATAGTTTTATGAAGAGATCTAGCACTAATGAGGCTTGCTTAACTTTGACTCTGTTACTAGTTTTCAGAGAAATAGAATAGTATGGTATTGGGAATACTATTACTACAGTAAAATTACAGGCCTACCTTGTACTCATCTGCTTTGAAACTTGTTGAGTTTGGTATTGGGATGCATTTTGATACGAAAATTTTGTACCAGTACTTGACACACAAGCTACAACTTGTTGTCACTTGCTCTGTGACTACTCTCTCCAGCTAAAACAATTTGGTACTTGATTTTGGTACTAGTTACCTCCTGGAACACATTAAAGATGACTACTAAGATACCACCATAGTTGGGCATGGTGGTGCACATCTGTAACTCCAGCTGAGGCAGTAGGATTGCTGCGAGTTCAAGGCCAGCCTGCACTATAAAATGAGACTGTGTCAAAAAAAGACCCCCCAAAAAACCCAAAATACCACTGTAGTTGTAGTAACCATTGTAGTTGTAACTAAATCTATCTTGTGATTTGCTGATTTCACTCATTTAAATTTAGTTCAACTATCTAAATTTAGCATTCCCTGTGAAATTTGACTTTGTAAGTTCACTGAAAAAAATAGTGTGCCAAGAATTTTCTCAGATACTAGAGACAGGGATCAAAACAGTATCCTTCTAGAGCTAAGAGCTGTATAACTGCTAAGAACAGGATTTTTAAAAAATTTTCATAACTCTTGGACATTCATACAAACAAGTCCATAAGTCAGAAATAAGTATTTTTTTGTCATGAGATTCTCGAGACTTGACTTTCTCCTTGGGATATATGGTTATCATTGGAAACTGTAGTTTAACCAGCATGGTTCAAGAATATGAAGCTGTATTTTTAAATGGAAAAAAGAGGACATAGGAGGAAGAAGAGTGCTATCAATAGACATCAAACACATTTGTGCAAGCAGGCTTAATAACTGCATTTTATCAGGTGATGAAACAGACAGGGATACCCAGCAATAAACGAGGATGTGAGAATTCAAACCCATATGTGGTTCACCTGCCTCAGACTTCTGCACAAATGTCGCCTCTTCACAAGGACCTTCCTTGACCATGTCCCCTAAAAGATTTCAGCCTTAACCAGCTCCCTCTTTCCTCTACATTCACTTCCTATTCTTTCCCATCTCCTTATCCAACTTTATTTTTTCACAATATTTGTTTGATTTCTAATACCTAGAATATTGCCTGAAACATAGTTGGTATTAAATGAATAGGTAAAAGACCCTGAAGTGCAGGTATGTTTTCATTACATCTCACTGAAAGGATATAGTAGATACATAAGTATATAAGCTTTCTGCTTCATAATCTTTTCTGTGATCTGGGTCGAATAATCATAGAGTAAAAGTTCATATAGGCTGTGGAGATGACTTGTCAATAATTTTATGAAGAGAAAAGATAAGAACAGAATATTAACTAAGGAAAGCCAACTAAAGTTGAAATGTTATTAAAATAGGATCACTTGGCCATGAGGTCACAAACTGGGGCACAATACAGACAATCAGGATACCTCAAACCCTGTAGGAGATTGGAATCTATAAAATTATTTTAACATAATAGATTTTCTCAGTCCTTTGAAAAGTTAGTGAATAATTTTATTAAATTTTTTGAAAAGACACTAAGAAAATGTTAGGGTTGTAGCTCAGTTGTAGAGATTTTACCTTGCATGCATGAGGCCCTAGAGTTGATCCCCTGTGCTGCAAAAAACAAGATGAAATTTGAAAAATGTTGTGGTCTTTGTTTTGGTATAATTGAGAGTAATCATAGCTTTTATGAGGAATAAGTGGGTACATAAATGTTTTTTCATAAATAAAATGTTACAAATACTACCTTAGCCACTCACAATAGTAAAATTATCACAGGAATTGCCTAATGATGTTATGCACTTGGCACTCATTTAAATTTTGGCATTGTCAGATATTTTCTAACTGGGTTTTCTTTGAAGTGCAAGACCAGTGCCAGGTATCTGTTCACATTTTGTATGCCATTTAATTCAACTCAAGTTGTGAAAGCTTTGGGCTGTCATCAGGCACTCTGTGATGTTAGGACATTCACTGAATTTTGTTCAATCATGAAATTTGTCCATTTAAGATTTAAGAGCCAGGCATGGTGGCGCACTCCTGTAATCCCAGCACTTGGGAGGCTGAGGCAGGAGGATTGCTGTGAGTTCGAGACCAGCCTGGGCTACATAGTGAGACCCTGTCGCAAAAAAAAAAAAA